AGATTATAACTCCCACCCAACTAGTCCGGGAACCACATCACATTTGCTTACAAGTCTGTAAATACAAAGGCTCTCTACCTCCCTGGAACACCAAGCTATTTGTCAGGCAGTACCTGAATTAGCTGTTTGGAAGATGTATAAGACAGATTGACATAGAGCCAGTAGAGCCAGTTTGGTGTAGTGGTTAAAGTGCGTGGATGACCTTGGTTAAGCCATAGTTCTGATAAGAGCTGTTCTTGAAAAAGAGCTGTTTCTGTCAAGAGCTCTCTCAGCCCCACCTACCTCATGGGGTGTCTGTTGTGGGGAGGGGAAGGGAAAGGAGTTTGTAAGCCACTCTGAGACACCTTTGGGTAGTGAAGGGCGGGGTACAAATCCAGTCTCTTCTCTTCTTCTTCTTCTAGAGCTATTAAATAGCTCTAACCAGAGCCAGAGAGTTTTATTAACCTGCAGTCCTACAATACCAAGAATATTACTTTAGAGCGAGGGTTGAGGGACAGAGCATTCTACCAACTCATGTTCTCAAAGATATAATTACAGCACCATTGTTGTCCCAGATATTTCATCTACCAAGTTGTCACTCTACTGAATCACCTCCTTTGGGATCTCAGTGCCCCAATGTTCAAAGCACCCATAGAGAGATTTTGCCAGATGGACTCCTCCCTTCCACCTCTTGTTAGTGATAATAGATCTTTGGATGCTACAACGTTGGCACCTTTAAAATTCCGCTTGACAGCTGACCAAAAGGCTCTTTCAAACCCTGAAATGGAACCCAACTCAATACTTTCAAGAAAGATGCATGGGAACTTAAGACTCTGCTCAGGTCTAGAGCCCAAAGCTGTGGAATCTACATTCTTCAAAGATGTTGCTGCAGACCGGTTGAATTCGACAGTAACCAATACCAATTGCGATGTCATTATACACCCTATTCCAATGAATAGCTGCAAAGAGAGTGAGACCTCCCACCATAAATTGTCTTCCTTAGCAAATCTGCAGAACCATACTTTGGGTATTGACAATGGTTGTTTTATTTTTGATACTAATGGATCCTTGAACCAACTTACAGAGATGGATTGATTAAATAATTAATCATCTCAGAGGACCAAAATAGTCTCCTGGAACATTGCAGGATGGAGAAGTAATGTCAATGATCATGAATTTTTAAGTTATCTTAGAACACATGATATTATTATTCTTCAAGAGACCTGGTCCACCTCCCCGTTATATCTTATGGGGTACAAATCCTTTTCTCTTCCTGCAACAAGGACTAGCTGCAAGGGTCGCCCCCAAGATGGACTTACAACTTTTGTTTCTACAAATTCATGAATCCCAAGCCTTGGCCTTGGCAGTTCTGCTTACTTGTGATGGGTTTTCTTTTATAATAATAAATGTTTATATGCCACCCACACAAGCCAGGTCAGATCTAACTAACCAGTGGAATGGATTGACAGTTTTCCTGAACACCTGATCCGGCTGTACCCTCAAGAGAATATAATCCTGGCTGGGGATCTCAATGCCAGAGTAGGTAATAATATTTTATCCATTGTAAATAACTCTGGTCTCGACCAGGATGTTTTTACTTCTTTATTACTGCCTGGCATTAGGAATTCCAGAGACAACATATCTAATTTGGCTGGATAAAATCTTATTCAACTATGTGCTCAATTTAATCTGATTTGGCTGAATGGTTTAATGGATTTTGGTAACTTGGATGGCTACACCTTCATCTCCATTAGGGGATGAAGTGTAGTCGACTATATGCTAATTTCCCCAGCTCTTCAGTCCTATATCTCTGATTTCTCAATCGGTGAACAGTTCTTTAGTGATCATCTACCCCTATTTCTTTCCATGCCAGCAACAGCTACCCACAACCTTTGATTCAAGATTTAGATCCTCCACCAAAAATTTCTTGGTTCCCAGAATCAAGGTCGAATACCCTAGAACTATTAAATACCGCTACTACACTGGATTATAGAGACACAAAAATAAATTCTATGAACTATTCTGAAGCTGAATTCAATTATATGAATCTTCTGACCTTTATAATTGATTCACTAAAACAAAAACCAAAGAGATCCAATATAAAACACACCAATTCATTTACGAGTACTCCTTGGTTCAATAAGGAATGTAGAGAGCTTAAAACATGCTTGCGCTCCATATATCATAACTTTCAAAATTCAACAGCCACTTGTTTTCCAGAAGAATATCAAGTATATAAAAATTACTTAAATACTCTCATTAAGACCAAGAGGAATTCTTTTGTAAATAAAAAGTGGGAATTACTTTTAATTTCTACATCACGTAATTACTCGAAACAATTCTAGTCACTGATTACTAGAGCTTTTTGACCAGAAATCCTTCTATTTTACCTTCTACTTGGTATCATTATTTTTCAAATTTATTCCACGAGGACTCCCCAGACATCTTGCACACTGATGGTTTTTCCTTAGATGGCATTCCCAAATGGCCTCCAGTAACCCCAGAAGAAGTAATAACTCATTGATCAATTAAAGTCAGGTAAAGCACCCGGCCCAGATGCAATACCCTCTGAAATTTTAAAAGCAGATTCTGAATGGTGTCCCACCTGCTAGCTGCTTTTTTTACTATTGTAAATAGTACCGGACATATACCTGCAGCATGGACCAATGCAATGCATCTTTAAGAGGGTACAATCCTGCAAATTTTAGACCAATCAGTCTCCTACCTGTAATTGGTAAACTCTACGCTAAGTTATTACAAATTAAATTTAACGATTGGCTGGTAACTCAGAAAATTGTTGGACCAGAACAAATAGGCTTTAAGCAGGGGAAGTCTGTTCTGGACCACTGTTTAGTCCTTTCCCACCTAATTAATACAGGACATATACAGGACATAGAAGGTCCAAATTATATGTGGCCTTTTTGGACCTCAAAGGAGCTTTTGACTCTGTTTCTAGAAATCTCCTATGGGAAAAAATGGCCAATACATCCCTTGATAAAAGGCTGCTCTTCTTTATTGGCAGATTATATAATGATACATCATGCCAAATCAGATGCTCTACATCTGGAAGACTGACCTCCAAAATTTCCACCAATAAGGGGGTCTAACAGGGTTGCGTGCTTGCACCCCTTCTTTTTAACTTTTTTCTGAGTGACTTTGCATCTTTTTTGACTCAGGTGGATGGCCATTGCCCCAGATTAGGTTCCATTCATGTACCAATTTTGGTATATACTGATGATGCGGTTCTGCTTTCCTGCTCCAGGTTGGTTTACTCCATTTGCTGAATAGCTGTCAAAACTACTGTAACATCAATCAGTTAGAACTGAACTATGAGAAATCCAAAGTGTTGGTCTTTTCTAAATCCAGAAAGCAATTTTGTCTGGAGAGTAGGTGATTATGAGCTTCAACAAGTAAAAATGTTTAAGTATTTAGGCCTCCATTTTCAAGCCACTGCATCTTTGGCCCACCAGCGGAGAGTGACAATTAATAACTCCAAGGCAAATATCAATGCACTCCTACAATTTTATTTTTCTGACTGAGGAATCAATATGTACTGGCTCCGCTAAAAGTCTTTAACTTGAAAATAAGGACCCAATTACTTTATGGTGTCCCTATATGGATTGATGCAGTAAACAAATCAATAGAACACGTACATCTGTCCTTCTTACGGAAAATACTGGGCATTCCATCTTGTGTCCCATATGTGGCCCTGTGTTTGGAATGTGGCCAAAATCTTATGACCCCTAGCTTGTGGCTGGTGACCTTTAAATATTGGTTTTGGCTGCATTATAACTCTGACCCTTCCAGCTATATTTACCAGCTTTTAATGGAATCTGAGTCTTCACCTTGGCTAGCAACCATACACTGGGAAGTCTGAACAAAACAACAAACACTTAAGACTACATCCTTACTGTTACAATAGACTGACTGACCACATGGTTCGTAATGGAGATTCTTCTTTCTTCCTGACCCTAGAATGAAATCACCTGATTACATTAGCCAATGACTGTGAGTAATTTGGCTCCAGTTTCCCGAGCTTTCTCCCCAATGGCTTTGTGCCAGGTTACCTTCCAGGTCAGTCTAAACAATAGCACACAAGGTAAACACATTAACCCTATAAGGACTGAATTCAGACCTTGCAACACACATAGTTCCAACAGCCACATCATCAGGGATGTACTGTTTTTC